AATTCATCACTGGAAAGTTGTTGCATAATGCTCAGGTGACCTATAAGGCCCATGGGCCTCTTGTTACTTAAAGTTTTTACTATTGAAACGCGAATTCTATTTAAAGCAGCAGCTCTTTCCAGAAAGTAGAAAGTATACAGAAACATTTTATTGCTTGATTTTTAGCTCTACTAGTCAGAATGCAGAAGAGCTTATACGATAGAAATGCGTCTGTCTGTCTGTATGCCCGTCTGTAAAGATTTTTTTTCAAAATGCTACCCCTTCTACAGTTTTCGTCTGATTTCAATATAACCTGGCACACAAGTAGATTACATTAAGATAAATAATTCTGTGTATCGGTTTTTGATTTTGATGATCGGTACCGTGGTTACTGAAAATAGATTTTTTTGCAAAAATCATTCAAAATGCTACTCCTCCTACAGTTTTGGTCTGATTTCAATATAAGTTGGGCCACAAGTAGACTACACTAAGATACATAATTCTATTTATCGGTTTTTGATTTCGATGAACGGTGTTTCCGTGGTTACTAAAAAGTATAGTAAACTATAGTACATAATTCTATTTATCGGTTTTTGATTTCGATGAACGGTGTTTCCGTGGTTACTAAAAAGTATAAAAGTATAGTAAACTATAGTAAATCAAAGTTTTCACTATAGTAAATCAAAGTATTTTTACTATGAGTTTAAGATAGATATATTTTATTGTTTAAACTTCCTACAAATACTTTTCTGGAATTAAAATGAAGTATTCCTTGTATATTTACATATTTTATCAAAAAAGTATATCATTAATATGTAATTTAAAATATATTAAGGCTTTAAATCTTCAAAAAAGTTCTAGAGCAAAGTTTTATAGTGATTGAAAGTGTCAAAGTTCTCACTATAGTAAACTATAGTTAACTATAGTAAATTTTTGTTAGGGGGGCCCTGCGAAGAAGCAATGCTCGCTGTAGCAATGCTGTATATAGGGAAAACTGAGGAGATACAGCCCCATATTTACTGCTCTCCTCTGTTTCTTTTGCCAGTGGGAACTTTGAGTGCGGGACGTTCTGCGAAGAAGCAATGCTCGCCGTAGCAATGCTGTAGATAGGGACAACTTTGAGGAGATACAGCGGGTCCTATGACAGTCTGTTCCATGGCTAAACAGAACTGTCTATTGTTCTCCTCTGTTCCTATTGCCAGTAGGAACTTTAATTGTGCGGAAAAGGACCCTCAGAACTAGCAATGCCCACCACAGCTGCGCAGAACTGACAGTGAGCTGCGCCTGAGCCCTCCTGAGAGGTGTCTGCAAGCATTTATAAGCCAGTATCTAGGCTGCGGGACGGGGACCCCACATCTCTTCCAGCCCACCCATTCCCGCCTCTTTCCTTCTTTTCCACCGTTTACAAAGACAAGAATAACGGGGAACTTTATTATATATTTAGCTGAAAATAAAAACGAAGAAATGTGTGTAGTTGATATGAATGCCTGCAAAGCAGGAGACAGCCACCAATCCGAGACATTTGAGAGGTATCTGCAAGCATTTTTATGCTAGTACCCAGGCTGCGGGACGTGGACCCTACCTCTCGAGCAGACCACCACCGTTCCACTAACCAACCAACCCAAAGCCTACCAAACAGAAGATGGAAACCTAACTTAACAGGGAAGGTTAGTCGAGGTGTCTGGCTGCGATACCCCTTCGCTTGACCCACCTACAAACAGAAGAAAAATGAGCTTAACCCCAATCAAGACCTTAGTCCTCCCAAAAAGTGCTATCTTACACCACCTAATCCCCGGGGAAGTTAACTTTCGCTATGCACAAACCTGCACTTCCCCACTAACCCACTACATTTAACCACAAAAGAGACTAAGCTAACATTTGGATTAATCTTCAAGTTCTGATCCAAATGACCCCTGGACTGCCAAAGGATTTTAGCTACTCTCCGGCCCTGGCAGGGTGCTGTCTCTAACCTACTGGTATACCAGCTTTTGCCTCGACTAGAGCTAAGATGGAAGACTGGCAATAAATATGTAATAGACAGGGGGCAACATAATGCCAACATATGTACAGCCCTTTTTTGTTACGTTTTTGCCGTGTTTGGGGGTGCACGCTATGTGCAGTTTTTTTTAGTTTTTTCCCATCTTTTGGTTTCCTATGTACATCCAGTTATTTATTAAGTTTTCACGGCTCCGAGTGCACGCTATATTTATTTTTTATATATATATTTTCGCTAATATATACATATGTACAAAGATGGAGCACCACTTCTCAGAAAGCCTGGTTGGAGGGAGAGAACTACTCATGAGTTCTCGGACAGAGTTAAAAACCGGAGCCCCGGCCCTGTTCCCTATCGTCATTCAGCGCTCCCGCAGCCTGAGCGCGTTTTCGTAGGGTTTTCTTCCCCTTCCCAATCTCGAGACGAAGGCGGCTGATCAGGACCATGTGAACCGCCAAGTCCGCTTCCTCCTCTCGAGTGCTCCTGCCTTTGCGATGCAAAGACACCACTGCCTTGCGGATTGAGCTCGTGGACAACCGGGACAGAGGTTCCTTGATTTCCTCACTGTACAAGTTCCACTGTATATTCATGAGTCTGACCACCTCCGATGGCGTCAAGGGCCCTCCCGCACTGTTGGTGAAACAGTTACTAAGTAAACACTCTCACCTTTTTTTGTTGCAGCGCATAGAGACAATGAAATTATTTATCCACCCGCACAGGGACGGCGTGAATGCTATGAGGCAGGCTTTGCTCTTTACTTTTTGTTTACGTACACGGACGATAAACACATTTTCAATGTTTCTGACGTCCTCAAACTCCCATAGAGTGAGGTTACAGATGTCCCCAGCCCTCTTTGCCATTGAGAAGCAAATCTAAAGCAGCAAGAAACTGAAAACTCTTTGATATTGAGTCGTATTATTAGGGCCCCGCTCGGTGGGCGCCCTATAGTGATCAGTCTGTCCGTCCGGCTGTCAGTCCGTCCGAGATCTCTTGTCCGGAGCATATCGTCTCTCCCCTTGGTCCAATCTGGCTCATACTTCACCCACAAAGTGCCCATTGGTAACCGATGTGCAGTGACCTTGAACCATGTTTCTAGGTCAAAGGTCAAGGTCATAGCAGAATTGTGTGAAAAATCCTTGTCCGAAAAATCCTTGTCCGGAGCATATCTTCTCTCCCCTTGGCCCAATCTGGCTCATACGTCACTCAAAGAGTGCCCTTGGGTAACCGGTGTGCAGTGACCTTGACCCATGTTTCTAGGTCAAAGGTCAAGGTCATAACAGACTTCTGTGAAAAATTATTGTCCGGAGCATATCTTTTCTCTCCTTGGCCCAATCTGGCTCATACTTCACCCACAGAGTGCTTTGGGTAACCGGTGTGCAGTGACCTTGAACAATGTTTCTAGGTCAAAGGTCATAGCAGACTCATATGAAAAATCCTTGTTTGGAGCATTTCCTCTCTCCTTGGCCCAATCTGGCTCATTTTTCACTCACAGAGTGCCACTGGTCAGTGGATGTGTAGTGACTTTAATTGGTTGAAGTTTCTAGGTCATAGTCAGAATTAGCCTCTATGTTTAAAATCTTTGCTTGGTGCATAATTTTTTCCCTTAATACCAATAAATTTATATAACTGAGTATACAAGGTAACCTATATCTGTAAAATTGCAGTATCTGTGAAGTCATACTAAATTACTTTCACTGTAGTACACAAATGTTCCTTTTCAAAATATACCTTTTAAACTTAAAGCAATATGAGCTGTATCTTTGAGAATTTTATTTTTATGGTAAAATGTGCTATTATGATCAATTTGTATGTAATTTAAACTTATGATCAATGAGCCCAAAATAAAGTTTAAAAATGTTTAAGAAGAAATATTTCTGTACAACCGAATATACAGTTTTATATAAGAAATCATTATTGTACAGGACGACAATAATTCAATTTTGCTTCAATCAAAGCTAATAAAAAAAAATCCATTGCAAATATGAGCAACAGAAGTTTGTAAATAATTTATCTTTCTGTCATTAAATTAGTTGATTACAAATTTTCAATAAAATTTTCAAATGTCAAACATGCAGCTCATATTGCTTTAATCTTACATTTTCATGTTCATTGTTGAAAGCGGGGCCCTTTGAGATGGTCACCATCTCAATGATATCTAGTATTTATCAAAGGCCCGCCTCTCTTCCATTATCTCTTGCACTTCGATGTAAGTACGAGAGAGGAAATAGCCATCCACTTGGTCAACGTTGGGGCATTCTTCCTCGGTCTCAGTATTAGACCGATCTTCGGGTGCAGTGTCTTGTCGTTGCCAGGTTCGATTTAACCCGGTTAACATACGAGCTGATCTGCAAGAAATCTTCCTTCGACGACCAAGGGCGGACTAGCGTCCAGTCATGGCCAAGGAAGTCAACAAACTTGCTGGCTGCATAAGCATAGTGTGCGAGTGTACCAAAACTTAATTGATACTTTTCTTGTACTTTGTCGAGCACCTTCCCCTTGTCCCCTATTGACATGAATTGGCACAGTGTACTTGGTACCAGTGCCAGACCTCCGCTCGTTTAGACCATTGTATCAAAGATGTGCTCTACCTCCATGTATTACCAGCAATATTAACATACGCATTAGAGCCGCCCAAACTGGTAAACCAGGTCTTAAACCAATCCAACAACCGCTCCTTGTAAGCTTCACCCGAAGCTTTGCTCGGGCTGCCCAATCCGGGGGTGAGAGTTTTTGCTTGACTTAAATGACCTTTATACTCGTCACCCGCTAAATGATGCATCTTCTTGAGGTGCTTGTCTACCCTGTAATTAAAGCGTTTGCAAATTTGGCAGCTTTTTCTACATAAGAGTTGGGTCGTCGTTTCGTTCCTCGACCGCGGCCTCCACAGCCGGACGTCTCTTATCTCGTCGCCCTACCAACTGGTCGATTTTCCAGTCAGGGAGCTCGGCACCAAGACTCTGTCGTAAGTGACGCCTCAAGTCCACTACCTCTGCGGGGCAGTCCTCAACAGGACTCATGCCGTCTCCTATTCTTTTTTTCCATCTTTGGAGACCTGCATGCGGGCTCGGGTCCTTCCCCGCATGGCGAGCCCTCCCCGCTGCCGACGGGCATAGGATCGATTTACACCCGCGGCTCCTTTTAAGGCACAAGCATCTAGATTCGATGCCTGAACACCATCACCGGTGTCAGCGTCGTCACCTACACTGACGCTTTCGTCCCCTGATCCCGACTCGCTGTCTTCTCCAGAACTACCGTTATCGCCGCTATCTGGACGGTAATCGGAGTCTAGATCGGAGTTATCGTACTCCGATTCGCTAAACTGGTCGGGATCAAAGGTTGCCCTACAGATCTAGTGTCAGTAGGAGGTCTTCTAACCCCATACTTGGCCTTGGGCTTCAGTTCTGGCTGAACATTGGACAGGACCGACTTAGCGCTGCCCCCGGCCCGGTTCTTTTCCGATTTGGAGACTCCCCGGTCTTCCAGGGGCTTTGCTTGGGCCACCGAACCAACATCAACCGAATGAACCTCTGCCTGTACCTCGACAGGGTGATCCATGTGAACATCGTTACCTGGTTGCGATATGTCCCCCCGAAGAGGAGATGTCGAATCCGAGATGCCCGTCTGAAGCGGACAAGTCAGATCTGGATTTCTGCCTGGTTGCGATATGTCCCCCATAAGAGATGTCGCATCTGAGATGCCCGTCTGAAGCAGACAAGTCAGATCAGGATTCCTGGTCTTCGTGTCCAAGTTTCCGTCGCCGTCGAATGGCACAAATTCACCCTCAGGCGTATATTGCCGGATTGGAATTGCAACCAGAGCTGATTCGACATGGGAATCTGTCATTGACTCCTCAGGGTAGGAATCGTCCACAACTTCCTCCTCCGCGACCAACTCCGACGAGACATCTCGGTCACTAAACACAGGAATTTTGACGTCTAGGATATCAGATCTCTTCACTTTCCCTTTCTTGCTAAACCGGACATGCCTGCGTGGCTTATTGTCTGGATGATAGGGACGAACAGGTCTGATCGAATAAAAGAATTCGTCTACCTCAAAACTCTCCTGGTCGTAAGGCTGGTAGTCCATGACAGCTTTCAGAGTCCTCCACAGGAGACAGCAAGAGTGTCTCTTCAGTCTGTTCCAAGCTCTCTGTCCATGGTGCTGCTGCCTGCTGAGTCTCTTGGGGGTCACCCATGCGCAACTGGTTTTCAAGTTTTATGGAGAGCTCGCCGTCTGGCTCTTGGCCTTCGCGAACCCGAACAACCGAACTGTCGGATTTCTTACCTGAATCCGATTCTGAATCCGACTTGTATGGAGCCGACTCTCCTTCCACGAAGCGAACGTGTCTCCTCGTTGAAAAGACCGGCTGTGCACGTGTGTGGTGGGTTTCCGCACGTTGCTTTCCCAGACAGACGTGATGCCATTACACCGGTAAACGTTTTGCACTGATCAAATTCTTATATAATTTCGTCAAATCATGGAGTGATTGCGCACTGATATGACACCAGCCCGAAATCGTTTTGTACAGCGTTTAGATTTCACCCTAAAACCACTTGCAATAAGGTTACTCAATCTGGACGACCATCGAAAAGGAACTGTACTCCGCCCAGGTAGATACTATGATTGGTAGGCACAGTAGTGATAGGAACTGCCGTTTAAAGTACGAAAACCCTTTACCAGGGAGTCGGGCATGCTTAGGTGACAATGGGCGACCTACAGCTTAAGTGACAGCCAAGTGGAGCTAAAGTGACCACCAATTTCAACTTGCGTCGTGAAAGTAAGCTTATATGAAAATGCCAGTTTACTTTAGTGACGGGTCCATTTCTGCTTAAATGGTATGCTTAATTGACACTATTTTGGCTTCAAGATTAAATGTCACAATGTGGACCTTAAGTGACACTTTTTGGACATTAAGTGACATTTTTGGACCATTCATGCGCAAGTGACAAATTCTCAGAACTTACGTGACAGAAAAGTGGCCTTTCTCAGTGCTTAATCCATTATGACGTAATAATCACGTTCAACTTTCATTTTCCCGTACTTTAAGGCTCTAATAGAATTATGTAGGAAATTAAGTATTTTCATGGAATTCAATTTGAAATCACATGAAAAGTAGTCCTGATACTTATTTTAATTTTGACATTATTTTACAAATTACCGTTTTCTGAAACACTGTAGGCAATCTGGATACATTTTCTTTGTCTGATATGGGAAAAAAAACTCCCATTTTCATGACTGGTTTTCTTAATTTTTCATTGAAAATGAGTTCAAAGTACGGTTTTTCATCTTGTTTTTCTACAATTTATGCCTCGAAACACCTATTTTGACCAAGCTAATGTTATAAAGCATCATTAAAGAAATTTATTTCATAAATTTGATAAATCTGTAGGCACCTTCCATTTACTAGATCTTGACCTTAAGACCAACTTGTCTTCGAATTTATCCAATGTATATTTGTTCAGTATGTAAATATTGCATACAATCTTGTGAGTAAAAAAGACCTCACTAGATGAAGTTTGTTCCTAATCCGTTCTTCTTGCCCGCTCTACAGTATCTTTCTTGGCAGTCATGGAGGATACTAACATTGCAGATGATGTTCCTGGTTCGTATAACTTCCGCGATTCTTGGTAGCGCAATCCTCTGGTTTCCGAAGGATTCATCTGTTATTCGATCAGCTTTAGCCATAAAGGTTATTTAAAAATTATCTTGCCAGTCAAGGATCGACATTAACTTTTAGAAAGGCAAGTGGATTCAAATTTGTCCGCATTTGAAACATAGTTGCCCGAAATCCTAACACTGATTTTCAAAATATTATTATAACTGAAAACAGAATTGACACTGTTTATTTTTAATGAAAGGTAAAAAAGGTTTGATAACATTTTTAAAAATCATGAGTAATCATTCAAGAAATACTTTGAGTCAATGTCAAATGATTTATATCCATCAGCATTTAAACTGTATTTTATGCGACCTGTTGGTCGTTTGCTCCTAGGAAGAAATTCAACAAAGCATCCTCTCCTGCACCTTCTCTGCTTCAAATGATGGTATTATTTGTCTTTCTGTGAACCACATATGAAGACCTCTTTCTGCATTGTATTCATAGAGTGAAGGACCCTCAATGGACACTATCAAAAGGTGCATCGTTTATGTGTGGAATCGAGACCTCCAGTCTGATTTTATCCTCTTGACACAAGAGACACCCCTCTCACATACAGCTTGGATTACCATAACAGCCTGTATCAACATAAGGAGAATTTTATATTTAACCTCATTGCTCCCAAACAGAGTGCAGATTGAGAGGTCCTATGCCTGTCTGTGAAAAAGCCTGTTCCCAAGATGGGACATTAACACAATAAGTACACGAGTGTACTTAAAATTTTATAATATGGGCAGGTATGCTTATACATTTTGGTAACTAGCCTATTCACCTGTAATTCAAAGAATAGAAATAATAGAATTTAGCAAAACATGGCTAGAATTATAAAGTTAATATCTTGGATCCATTGATTGCTTTTGTTACAGTTAGTAGTATTAAGTCATTATATATATATATATTAAGTACAAGATTATAGATAATTCATAAATATTTCAGGTACTAACATGACTAATTGGCTTAACATCATAATCTTTAATGTCAGTTGATGCATCTTTGGTCCTCGGAATATGTCGACTTAAATGGAGGTTACTGACCTATATTTGGAATGTTATAGCTGTGTTTAAATATTTTCAGGTACTAATTTGCCTATTAGAGTCATCGAACTTTATTGGTTGATGAATCTTGGGTTCTTTGAGTATGTCGACAGAAAAGTAGGTCACTTTGACCTGAGTAAATATATTCTCAGGTACTATTTGGCTTAAAATCATTCAACTTTGTCAATTGATGCATCTTCATGATCTTGGACCTCAAAGTGTGTCAATTGAAATGTAGGTCACTGTGAGCTACTTCGAAATTTTATGGTTATAATATTTTAGGTATTAATTAGTGTAGAAAGATCAAATTTATTGAAATTTGGGTCCTTGGAGAACGTCAACTGAATAGAAGGTCAACATGGCCTACTTTTGAAATTTTATTGCTTATCAGAATGTGATTCAAGACCCTTGGGTCTTTTATTTTTCATACATTCATTTATAATTTAATAATATTTAGAATGCTAACTTGATGTTGGTTATGGGATTTATCTCATATTTGACAATGAATGGTAAAAAATATTCCATTTGTCAGTATCCGTGGGATTTATCCCATTCGAACAAATTTGTGGGAGAAAAAATTCTAATGATTATATAGTAAATTATTATATTTCATATAAGTGATATATTTTATAAATCATTATTTATTTGAAAATCTTTCTTTTGCTCCAAGGTATTATGCAAATGATCTTAGTATGTACATTTATGTTGAAAAAAGGTGCATCTAGCAAAATTGTTAATTTCATACATTTTGGGTCAGGGGTATCGAAGGGGGGGGGGTTACATAGTCTGAAAATAAAATAATGCTTTGAAATCTTCTCTTTCGTAACCATTTACGATGAAATAAAATTAATGATAAAATTATAAATAAGTTGTCCCAGGTTCAGTGGTTCCTTTGGGTTGGGGTGCATAATTGGTTATATATATAGTGGAAGTGCATTTTCTCTTCGTTACTCTGATCTACCTCTGGGTATTAAGTGACTAGAGTAAGCATGTTATGTGTATAATTATGATAAGAAATGGTGGCTGTTTAAAAATTGTGAATTTCATAGCCTCTGGTTTAAAACACGAACCAAATTTAATTGTTCGAAAGTTGTTGCATGATACTCGGGTAACTTATAAGGCCCGTTTATTACCAAGGCGATATTTCAGAGAAATTTGTAGGCTTTTTAATATCCAAAGGGAGCTAAGAATCTCTAATATGTTTTAGATTGTAGACCCAGAGGTTTTTATACACGTTTTTCTTACATAAACGAGATATAAGGGCTACACGTAGACCTCAATAAAAATTAGGTATAGTTTGAATAGCCAATCAAGAAATTAATTTTAGTTCTCGAAATGCCTACATCCCCATACCAAACAGATTTATTACGATATTAGAACGTTACAAACAGTTTCCATAATATTTAAATAATCGGTATTGCTTCCCTTAACCAGAAGTCTCTGTCGAGACTGTAGCTCTACTGGTTTGATTGAACAGGAAACAAGGTGGGGAGTATTTATATGTCTCACTCTGACATTCTGAGATTAAATTTCATTTAAAATATCAGTTTTCTACTAAAATTAATGGATCATATGCCAATACAAGTACATTTTATTAGTCATTAATGATTGAGTAGTCTGCCTTTTGTACAAGATGAAATAATTCTACAGTCATTGTGATAACCCCCATGAACCCTGAGTCGGCACACGTCAGCCAATTTATACCTTGATGAAGATGACGGAATCAGCAGAGGTTTGCCAAATGCTTAATGACCAATTAAACCATTTAGCTATACTTGTCATTTATCACATTTTTTTCCCTTTGAACAATTTGTACATACAAGCTTGCAAACAGAAGACATAAGACAAAACAAATGTGTTTTAATTTATATATTCTGATTTTAGGTACAAGAAATGGTAATGAAAAAAAATCAGTTTTGTAATCATTATCAGCATTTAAAAAATTCCTTGTTACACATTAGCTCTGATATTGATAGTCATGAACAAAACTTGTATAATATTTAGTGACATAATAGTTTGGAAGTATGAATACATTCAATCTTCAGCTGTTAATGATATACTAAATTAAGTAACATCTGATTCAATTGATTAAGTGTTCTACTACAATATGAAAATTGTGTTTAAATTCTGTTAATTACATGTCAAAAAGCAGGACAGATCATGATGAGAAGTATTAAATGCTATTATATTTACTCTTCTTTGACAAACGAATCCATGTTCAAGTTCTATATTATATCAAAGTATTTTGTGCTTAAAATATCTTATATGTCAATCATGTTTTACATATACAATGGGAAAGTAGCCTCATGTATATCATCATAGTATATACTTGATAATTTAACTAAGTGTCTGAAACATGTATGAAGAGGGATGGTTTACCTCCCTTTACGGGCTGGCCAGTGACCTCCCTCTTCCAATTATACTCACCTCTCAATATTTATTTCATCATTTATTTATAGTATATACTTGATGAATAATACATAACTTTTATTATAAAAGGTTTACCTCCCATATGTAATGGGCAAGTGGTGATATCCTTCTTTTTATAACACTCACTTGTCTATAAATTTGTTTTAAAATTCTTTTTTTAGTCTTATATACACTGATCATAATATATGGTCATATATGTTCAGAATAGACTACTTTCATTGTATTTTGAAATTCAAAGAAGTGTGAAATGCAATCCATTAAAATGATCATCTGTCAAATCCAAACACAATCTGTCCTGATGGAATATTCAGTATTGATTTTAAAAATCATTAGGAAAAAAAAGCATATCAAGTACAAAATACTTAATACTTGCATTTAACTAGTACAATACAAAATTAAATCTTGTAACACATTCATTGTCCATATTAAACTTGGTTAAATCAAATTTTGTTATAGAAAATATTTCGATATATACTTCAAATCTACATAACATTGCTATAAGCATTAACCTTGAACTTTTTACATTATACATTTTTTTTTCTAATACTGGTAGTTAAAGAGTGTGATATAAAATAATCAAGAAGATTAACTTAGCGAGCAATATAAAAGTGTATCCCATATCATTTCAATGACTTAATGAACATTATACATGTATGTAAGCAATTCAAACTTTGGTCAGCTTTATCATATTGCAACAGTAATTGTTAAGCGTACATCAGTGAATCGATCCATTCATTTAATATAATATATGATATAAATGCATTGAATATTGTCTCAGCATTGCCTGAAATATACATCATATACACAAGCTTTCATTTTTATAAGATATTGACATTATAAATATATTATTATAAATAAAGCAAATTATTTGGAGAAGAAATTATTGTCAATATTCCTGCAAGTATGTCAAATAAAAATCCAGTACATTTGTCTTTCGCAGTTGTTTTACTTACTTATCCACATAGAATATGTTAAATAATTACAGTACAGTAAAATTCGGTTATTATGAAGTCACTGAGATCTATGAAATTATCTCACTATACTATTGGCAATTCACTATATCCGTAGATGGAATTCGTAATATATATAGCTGGGAATCCAAGATGACTTCGCTATATCCGTGAATTTGCAATATTCCATATTGCTCATACAAAACAAGTTTTACTGTATAATGTAACAATTTTGACCAATGAAAATAACATTGAGACAACATCCATCTAAAAAAAAATTCATAAATAAAGTAAAAATCAGATTAAAACAAAACAAACTGCATAACCTTTTTAGAAACATTCACTAGTACTAGTTAAAATACATGTAATTACAAGCAAATGAACATGCAACTCTGTTATTATGGGTATGATAGAGGCATTATGAAGATGAAATTAGAAAGAAGCAGTAAATATTTTTTGGAATTTACATTAGAAAAAAAATATCACTTAATGTGTATCCCTCAGCAAACTAATTTAAAAATTATACAAGCATATAAACATTCTCTCTGATTTATTAAACACAATGGCTTTCTTAGTTCCACGAAAAGCATGGCATGCATATTGTTGATTCATATACATATAAATATAAAGCAATGAGATTCATGCACTTGTAGACACTCAAATTAAATTTGTCATTAGTCATATTATTGTATTCACAAATATTGTAAAAAGAACAGACAAAAAGATAATTCTTTTTCAATAATAATCTTGAAGATGTATTATTTATGCATGTAATTTAAATGATGAAACTGCATCAGGGGACACAAAAATTTCAGTGGGAAATAAATACTGAGGGATATACACTTTAAGTGAACAATACCTTATGACAAAGACTTCCAAAACCACCTGCATCACAAACTTAGTGATGGTACACTCGGTGGTGTACAAACGCACGCAGCGAGTCAGGTAGTGGCGCCTGCCCTGCTTCACACACTGGTGAAGGTACACTCGCTGGTGTACAAACGCACGCTGGCGAGTCAGAAATAGCTATGTTACCCCTCTCAGGGATAGGCAGACTTCATTGAAGAGGCTTTGACTTCAATGCATTTATGAAAAACTAAAATGAACCTTTTCTTTCCTCAATTGTTCCTCGATTGTTCCTTTAAAATAAACCTTTTCTTTCCTCAATTGTTCCTTCATAAATCTCTAGTTAAAGATGCATATATTATTTTGTGGTCAGAATAAACACTTTCAATGACATCAGTGATAATATTACATGTCACATTTATGTAAATATGGTCTATCAATGATCCAGAAGAATGGGTTGACTTTGAAACAATCTGTTTACAACTGAAAGCTTCAGACATGTATGTAGCCACTGAAGAGCCTCCATGAGAAAGATCTATATTGAAATCGCCAAGAATGATTATATTCTGCTGATTCTTAACTACTTTTGACAATTTGTTGATAAAGTTGTTTTTTGCTCTTTCAATAGTAGAACTTGAACTTCTGTATAGCATAACAACTTGATAATTCTCATTTTTGCACTTTACTTCACTGTACTGCCATTCTAAGTCTTTGTCTGAGTGGCTCACATGATTAATGATTTGACAGTCATTTCTAATGTATGTAATAATGCCTCTATGGGGTCTGCCACATTGCTGATTCAATGCAAAATCCAACCTGAACATGCTGTAATTCTCCAATTCATAATCTTCATTTTCATCTGATGCTGTCAACCAAGTTTCAGCCACTCCTATGATATGAGACTGTTGAAGATTTGGCTCATTTTTGAAACTTGCAAAATGAGCATGCAGTGATCTCACATTCTGAAATGCAATGTTTATGGTCTGGTTGTTTGTAAAATCCATAGGCTGAAAACATAACTGTAATGTTGCTTCTGTCCGTAGTCTACACATTTCTTTTTTCACTTTCTCAGACGCACAAATTTTGTTTTCATTTAAACTCAAGATATGAAGTCCTGTGATCTTTGTAACCCTGCTTAGAGCAACATAGTGAATGTGTGGCAATGTAAATTTTGGATTCATATCAAGATTGATAACAGCTTGATCCATTGTGTCCCCCTGAGATTTGTGTATAGTTTTGGCTGCAGAAAGTCGCAACGGAAATTGTATTCGTACAACAGTGTGTCTCAGGTACTGAAAGCTCCTTCTCACATCAAATATTGGTGTCCAAGACTTATCAACTTCATGCCCAAATAGATGTCTATACTGATATCTCCATGATTTTCCAGTATTTGTGTCATTAAAAGAAACCCATATTATACTTGGCCTCTCAGTGCTTTCTTGTCTCCTCTCAATGTACTCTACCTTACATGATGTACCATTTGTGAGCCCATCCTCAACACATAAATTTGCAGTGATTTCATACTGGAGACCAAGTGCTATGGGAACATTTTTAGCCAATCCAGCTGTTTTCGAGGAGTCATCTGGCAAATTTAAGTGTTGTATTAAATTTTCCCTACCTACAACTGAATCATAAGCTGGTATATTGACCTTTTCACCATCAGCTAACAGAAACACTTGGTTATTGTAGGCATTCACACTTTCATTTCTTGTATACAATCGGAGAGCATCTCTGGGATATACTGGTTGTGACTCATCTACACAGCGCTGTTTCAGTGTTTTTATATCAGCTTCAGTTTGATTTCCTTCTCGTAAGCGGTTGAGTAACTCAGCAAAATGAATATCATCTTTCTGTCTCATTATTTCCGTTAGTTCATGCATTGTGAACAATTCTCGCCACAAGTTTGTTGCCAATGGTCCAAAGTTTTTCTTCAAGTCATCAAAAACCCATCCATCCATCACTGGCTTTAACTGGAAAAGATCCCCAATCAAAATGACATTGATACCTCCAAAATATTCCTTACTGCCTTTTATCTGCTTCAAACGCTCATGTACACAATTTAATTGTGAATTTCCAACCATTGAAACCTCATCAATGATGACCGTTGACAAATATTTGTACTTTGTTCTAAGGCTGTTCAAAGATTCACTATCAAGGGGCTTGCAGTTAAATCCCTGACTTGCTGGAATTTTGAATGCTGAATGTATTGTCTGTCCCTTAATATTAAATGCAGCTTTTCCGGTTGGAGCACAAAGTAGAACCTTGCAGTCATCTGGATTTTCCCCTTCAGTAGAGCAATAGTGTCTTGTGAGTGCTTCATACAAAGTCCTTACAACAACAGACTTTCCAACTCCTGCACCACCAGTTAGGAAAACTCTAAGTGGTTCTTTTTTGGTTTTAATCCAATGAAGCACATGAGTAAAAAACTCCATTTGCTTTTTGTTTAACTTGCTAACTAGTTGGAAATACATCTCATTCGTCATTTTGTACTGAAGAGTTTGATCATCATTAGTAGAACTACTTGGTAATCCAAGATCTATTCCAATGTCATAGTTCTGGTGATTTTCTGGACGCTTTGGGTCAAAATACACAAATGCCTCACTTTCCCTACTCCCTTCATCGAAGTCCTCTTGTTCAGTTTGCTCTGCACTAGGTGCAACTCTATCAAATTGTACATCAACCTCTTCAGCCTGCCTCTGTGCCTCTTCCAGCTCTTCTGCATTGTGTTCATACTTCTTTAATTTAGCACCTATAAAACTCTTCAGTTGGTTGTACTTTTCTTCATAAGTTGATTTGTCTCCTTTAATGTCCACATCTTCCTTTCTCCATGGATGGAAAAGTAAAATCTTTTCTCTATAATGATTTTCAGAATCAACTTTGATGGAGTAATTGACATAACGAATGCACTTGGCCTTCCTCCTTTGCCTTATAATGATGCCATTTTTCAAAACTATCCTAATCAGCTCTAAATTGTTCTCTTCTTCTTCCAAGTCTCTTAATTCTTTTTCATCTTCAGAATCATCATTTTGCTCTAGGAGCTCATTTTCTTTGAAATCTTTAGGATATACAATTTCTATTTCTGCAGCATAGTCTGCTAAACACCAGTTTTCAAGTTGTCTTGGTCTTTGAGAATAACGCTTGATCAGACTGCTTGCATGAATGTCTGTGGAATTCTCTGGCAATTCTTCTAAAGCAGACTTACATTTCAATAGAAGCGTTCTTTCTTCTGGTGGTGAAGTATTTATAAATACAACATCTCTTGAACTTTTTGTTAAAGGCAATTGTAAACTCAAGTAAGCAGCTTCTTGTGCACTTATCTCAACTGCATTCAAGAACTTGTTTCCCATGTGTCGAACCTGTTTTTTCAAATCCATATTTCCTTCTCTTGCTTCCTTACATGCTTGATCAAGCAGATTACTCATTCCACGTTGAGACTTGCTAATGTAGGACACAATGTACATAGCACATGCATATGGGTCTAGGACAAACTGCAAATCATGATTTGCTCGCCATGCTGTCAAAACATTTTTCATGTAAGGGTTTACTCTTATTTCAGAAGGAGTTCTCTTCAAAAAAAGTTGTGGTCCATCAAGGGAACTTCTAATTGACTTTATGTAATCTTCTTTCTCCAGGTTCAGTGATTGTAAAAATTCACTGAAAGAAATGTTTTTCCCTTCTTTCATATCTGCTAATTCTTTCTTCACCTTTGTGAAAATTTCTTTGTATGTCAATGCATCTGAATCATCTGCTGATAAAGGTTCCAAGATCAAAGTTGAATCCATAGGAGGCTGAGGAAATCCAAATCGACAAATGTCTTTTCCTTTTTTCCTGCAAGTTCTGGAATGTTTGTGAATTTGTAATTCTACAAATGGTTCAACTTCATCATCACAATTTACAGAGCATGATACATACTGATCTATAAATTTTGCAATGTCAGTAACTGGATCTTCCTTAAATTTTGGAGCATCTTTTATCCACATGAGCATATGAATGTGAGGTGATCCTCTGTGCTGAAATTCAACACGATAAAAAAAGTCTATCAGTTCCCCAACAGGTTGATCCTCACTCTTCAAAACTGTATTGATAAACACATGTACTCTGTGATCAAAAAAGCGAACACATGTCACAGGATCTTTTTGCACCAAGTCAGTTTTCTCAGCCCATGTCAACTTGTCTACTTCTTCATCAGTTAGTGATTTCTTGAGATTGAGTTGAGCAAGAGTTTTGAGTAACTCAGACCATCTTGTATCTGCTGCTGATAAAGATGCAAACCAAGTTGGTAAACCCAGTTGTCTAATCATGGCAAACAACTCCTTCTTCTTTGCCTCTAGATACGGAGGACTGTTACGCAAAGTTCTAAAAATGTAATATCCCTCATCTAATCTTGTGATCTTGTCAAGAACTTCTTGATTAAGAACATCACCAGCTGTTAATTTCTTCTCTGTGCCCTTACATCTTCTTAATACAAGATTGACTTTGTCCGATATCTGCTTCATCTGAATTTTCTTCATTTTGAAAAATAAATTTGGCACACTGTTTGCTGCACGTCTGTCAATGTTTCTTAGTTCCCATTTCACAAGATCACTGTAATGAACTTTAACCTCACGGTCATCATTTGATGCCATTCTCTGACCACAGTAAATAGTTGGAAAAGACAAGAATTCTGCATCCTTATCGGTGTACAAACTCAGAGGTGTTTGTCCTTCTCCTGGAGCAAATGTATATACCTGATCTTGAACAGGATTTGCATCATCCAGTAATGTGTCGCAACTGCCAGAATGTCCTTCTCTTTCATCAATTTCTTCAAATGCACTCTCTTCTTTCTCATCTGATGTAACACCAACGTTTGTATTCCTTCCTTCAATACACTCTGATGTACTTGTGTTAAAATATTCTGAAATTATTTCACTGCTATCTGCAGTTATTCTAGCTTCCCATTCTTCATCTACATGAATCTTTGCATCTTTGTACATTTGGCTATTTCTCATTAACCAGTGTAATGCAATGATTACATGCTTTGGTCTGACATTTTCTACAAAATCACAAGTTTTGTAACTTAGTCTTCTCTTTAATCGGACTGGCACTGTTATGTCATTGTTAAACTGTCTTGGTAGAGAGTTTACAGTTGGTTGTATATCTACTGGAACATTAACAACATTTCCTTTGATAGATAATTGTCTTCCTCTAGGCAACTCTCTTATCTGCATGAATGGAATTCGTAAAGCTATCAGGCGTTCTTCTAACTGATGAAGTTGGAGTTCTTCTGGTTTGGAAGGAAATTGAACATGGTTTGCTACTGACAACTTTGGCATTTTCCCATCTTGTATCGATTTCTTACATGTTAAGCAAATCCATTCTTTTCCATCAACTGATATATATTTGCTGAGGAATTTTGCAACATCTTCAGGTGGTAAATTTTGTTTAAGAAAGCTGCTATCAACAACTGAATGAGAAAACCAGGTCTGTTGGCAGCAAGTGCATACATATAATGGCCCTTCCTCTGTTCTTTTATTAAATACTGATATTGATTCTGACAGTGTTGAGCCATACTTTCTTTGTTTTCTGGCAATATTTTCTTTCCTGCAGAAATGTGGATCTCTCCTTTTTTGGGCTTTAGCACTCTTTCCTCTGAATTGTTCTTTCGCACGATAATGCACATTATTTCTTTTCATAGATTTTCGAATGCGTTCTACTTCAAGAAATGCAGAATCTTCCCTACTCTTCCTTTTTCTTTTGACATCTCTTTCACGTTCATTCTTCATAACATCTATATTCTTCCTTTCTTTTTGCTTAGCAGTTCTCTCTTTTTCTTTCTGATACAGTCTAAATATTGGGTTATGCCTTTTTCTTTGTTTTGCTGTTTTGTCCTTTTCTTTTTCAGTGTTTCTTGTCTTTTCATCTAATCTTTTTGCTTGTCTTGCTGCTTTGTCCCTTTCTTTTTCAATGTTTCTAATATCCATGTCTAATCGTTTTGCTTGCCTAGCTATTTTATCCTTTTCTTTTTCAGTGTTTCTTGTCTTTTCATCTAATCGTTTTGCTTGTCTTGCTGCTTTGTCCCTTTCTTTTTCAATGTTTCTAATATCCACGTCTAATCGTTTTGCTTGCCTAGCTATTTTATCCTTTTCTTTTTCAGTGTTTCTTGTCTTTTCATCTAATCGTTTTGCTTGTCTTGCTGCTTTGTCCCTTTCTTTTTCTATTTTTCTAATATCCATGTCTAATCGTTTTGCCTTCCTTGCTATTTTGTTTCTTTTTTTTCAGTGTTTCTTGTGTCATCATCTAATCGTTTTGCTTGCCTTGAAGTTTTGTCCTTTCCTCTTTCAATGTTTCTCGTCTCTTCATTTAATCGTTTTGCTTGCCTTGCCGATTTGTCCCTTTCTTTCTCAATGTTTCTAGTGTCTTTGTCTAATCGCTTTACTTGCCTTGCTCTTCTTTCTCTTCCTCTCTCAATTTTTCTTCTTTCATTGTCTAACCTTTTTTCTTGCTTTGCCACTTTGTCTCTCTCTCTTTCTCTGTTTCTTTTTTCAGCGTCTAATCTTTTCTCTTGTTTTGCTACTTTGTCTCTTACTTTCTCAATATTTCTACCCTGATCTCTCTTTCTCCAGTTTTTCATGTAATTTTTAATGTATTCTTTTCTAGAAGTAATGACCCCTCCTTTCTCTTTCTTTTTGATCATGCCTTTCTGTCTACATTCTTGATCATCAAAATATCTGTCAAGAAGTCTGTCAATTTTTTTATGTTCTGCTCTTCCATCAGAAGTCTCTCTCATTACTTGTAGGGCATTTGTACTTGACTCAATAATATTTACTGGGGTTATTTCAAACTGAGAATTTTTGTCAACAGAGAGAGATAATGCCAACTTTAAACAATGTTGTGCCACACCCTCCAATGTCTCTACTCCAATCAGTGTACTTTTTCCACTGGGGTCAAGTAACCCTTTATGATCTCGTGCATGGGAATCAAAAAGAAAGTACCGTATTCCAACTTGCATGACAGAAAAAGTGTTTCCTCCAAAGCAAACAAAGGAACCATCTGCCATTTCAAAAGACTTTTGCAATGCCTCTATAATTGAAATGCCATATGTTTCACCATCATTTTCTAATGATTTATCATTTCCAATCAAACCAACATGTGATTCAAAGATCTGCATAGAGAAGCACTTGTCATAAACTTCTAGCTCACTTGGTAGTTCATTTACTAATAAATATTCGTTCTGCACAGTTGAACTTGCTTGCAGATAACCATACAGTTCATTCCCAGTTGTCAAAATTTTATCAATATCTGATGATGACCATATATTTTGAACTTTTATCTTGGAAAAAATCATGCTTGATAAAGCATTAGCTACACATTGTTTGCCAGTTGAAAATCCAAACAGATCATAACAGCCTTGATGAAAGTGTCCTTGTACAGATAAAAACATTCCACTCTCAATTCCGTTACCTGTTTTCCTTTGATTTCTTTTTTTTATTCCATCCTCTAGTAGAATATTCCTTGTCAAGGGGCACATTTCCTGACTCTTATTATCACATATCCTTTCTATTCTGTTCTCATTCATTTCCTTTCCTTTGCTTTCCAGTTTTTCATTTTTGTTCTCATGTATTTCTTTCTCATTTTTGTTCAATTTTTCTATTTTGCTCTCATGAATTTCTTTCTCATTTTTGTTTTGTATATTTTCCTCATTTTGATTCTTGCATCTTTTCTGATTTGTCTTACTAACTGCATCACCCACTTCTGACAGTGATGGTACACTCGGTGGTGTACAAACGCATCGCAGCGAGTCAGTTAGTGGCGCCTGCCCTGCTTCACACACTGGTGAAGGTACACTCGCTGGTGTACAAACGCACGCTGGCGAGTCAGACATAGCTATGTTACCCCTCTCAGGGATAGGCAGACTTCCTTGAAGAGGTGCCAACTTCAAGGCATTTAAAGGATCTGCACCTGAAACAGAATGCTTACCATCCTTTGAGGGAGTCTCTGCTACCCATCTTGTCTTAGCCATACCTCTGGCTCTCTGGAATGCTTTCCCCTTTCTTGGCATCTAAGAAAATTGTAAACAATAATAAAATAACACAAAAAGACAACCTAAAACCATCAATGGCCCATTCAAATTTTTTTTATCTCTATTGAGATATTTTCACCCATTTGGAGATGCCACCACTTGCTGGTGTAGGGCTGCAAACATAGATCTACATTTGGCACATAGGGCCACTGAGTAATGACTTGTGAGGGACCTTTTCAGTACCAGCACCTACTGCTGCACAGGACCATTGTTTATATAGTGTTATCTAAAATCCTGTCTAAAAATCCCGCAGTAGGATTCAAACCCCATTGTACAATGTAAAGATCAACTCCTTACTCCATGACTTTAAACAAACGTTGTAACCACTGCGTCATATTCATAAGCAACTACAAATTAAGTAAATAAGATATTGAACTTGGAAAAAAAGACCTTGGTTCAAAAAAAGACACATCTAATTTGTCACAAGTGTGTATTTTTTGAGTGAAATGGGGACTTATTATGTTTCTCCTTTAGAAAATTATAGACCTGTAATGGAATTTTTTTCTTTTTGACTTACTGTGGTTGTTTTCCCTACAAGTTGGAACTTCCATTTTGGCTCCATTTTACCCCGGGGGTCATGAACAAACTTGAATCAACAAATTTGAATCTACACTACCAGAGAATGCTTCCATATAAATATGCCTAATCCTGGCTTTGTTCTTCTTGAGAATAAGATTTTTCCTATATATTCCTATGTAAAACATTGATCATCCATTGTGTCCCAACCCTATCCCCTGAGGTTATGCTTTGAACAAACCTAAATCTACACTACCCGAGTATGCTTCTATATATAAACATGAACAATCATGGCTTAGTTGTTCTTAATAAGAAGAAATTTATTTTTTCTATATATAGGTATGTTAAAATTTGATTTTTCATTGTAGCCTCATCCTACCCCCGGTGGTCATAATTTGAACAAACTTCAATCTACACTACTTGAGAATGCTTCCATATATATGACTAATCATGGCTTTGTTCTTCTTGAGAAGATTTTAAAGACTTTGATCTTCCATTGTGGTCCCACCCTATCCCCAAGGGTCAAGATTTGAACAAACTTGAATCTGCACTACCCGAGGATGCTTCTACTTTAGTTTCATCTTTCCCAACCCAGTTGTTCTTTAAAAGATTTTCAAAACATGCCTGCAATTTTTTATTATTTCTTAATTATTTGACCTTGGTAGGGCATGGCCCTTCATTTGAACAAACTTGAATTCCCTTCACCTAAGGATGCTTTGTGGCAAGTTTGGTTTAAATTGGCCTACTGGTCCTGGAGAAGATGAAAATGTGACAAATTTACAGAAGGACAAGCAAAATTTGATCAGAAAAGCTCACTTGAGCTTTCAGCTTAGGTGAGCTAAAAATTGTAGCTTTCCTCTTCTCAAGATTCTAAATATACTTTACCCTTCTTCTTTTACGTAAACAAAGATGCACTCATTCATTGTAATAATTTCAACTGAACTGAATGTTAATTATATGAGGATGCCTCCATATTAATAAAGCAAATTGTTGCTTATTTATTATAATTAAGAAATCTGAGAGCCAATGCTCACTAGGAATACCCCCACTCTTATGTCAATATACATAAGTTCAATTACGGACAGATGCACAGAAAAATATGAAATTGACATAGGATTCATATCAAAATTAATCCCACCATATGGCATGTTTTGCATGAAACGGACAGACGCACAGACAAACAGGAAGTTGACATTGGATTAGAATAAAAATGTATCCCATCTGTATGGCATACCTCAGAGAAAATTTTTTTTTAAAATTTCAAGCATCTGCAATCAGTAGTTGCTGAGAAAACTGCAACAAAAAATTTGTTACAGACAGACACACAGCCTGACAGATAGACGGACAGACAAACACACAAGGGTAAAACAGTATATCCCCCTCTCCTTCGGAGCGGGGGTATAAAAATATCTAAGATTTTTTTCTTTAATGCCCTTTCACTCTTCTTCTTTTCTACTCTATTTAGAGAAGTGGACAGGCTTTTTAAATATATGGCTATTTAAATGAAAGAAAAGTGAGCAAGCTCACATACCCCACACTTCCCCAAAAGTCAAAGTGCTAAAATTCCTGTAAAAAATAAAGGAATCAGAATTTCCTGGTAATATGCATTATGCACGTCTACACATCGTGTCCTAAATATCTGCAGAGTTTGATGAAATTATTTGCAGCAGTTTATGAGGAGTTGCGCTGACAAAAAAAAAACAGGACTGACGGACTCACACTCTGACAGAAGGATCAAAAACATTATACCTTACGCAACTTGTTGCATTGGGAATAATAATAATGGATACCATGCTTAAAGTAGGCAAGTGTATAAAATCAAGAAAAACAGCACAGACAAAAAGCAGGTTTTTTTAAATGCTTGGATCTATAGCTCTCTAGCGTATCTGTCTCAACAAGAGAGTAACAAGTTTAATACATTTGTAGCTAGACAGAAAATATATACAGTGGAGCCTCATTTATCCGGACACTTTGGTTCCAAGTCAATTTGTCCGGATATGTGAAGCATCCGGATACCTGAATCACCAGTTAAACAAGACCAAATAACATTTTAAAAGTCCGTTCCAATGAAAAATCGTCCGGATACCGAAGCATCAGGATATCTGGCGTCCGGATATCTGAAGATCCACTGTATATGTATTGTTCTATAAATAATATTAATGACATTTTACAGACTCTGTTAAAAAAAAAAGAATTTGTTTTGTGTATATATGCCCTATTCAAAGTAAATTATTGTGAAGCAAAAACTAAAATAACGTTGATTAAACTAAAGAGAATTAAAATTGTGTTTACACAGCAGCTAATGCTAAGTACTACATCATAATGTGAATTAAAATCTTTTTTTAATTTAGGGTCATTCAGTAAGAATATCATGATGTCATTTGCAAACATATCACATCATGCAGAACAGATCCATTTCAAATAATACAATACTGTCTACATTTCGTTGGAGATTAACACAACTTTCCTTCGTCTTTTACTAAAAAAAAACACGAATACCTATATCTGAGCACTGATGTGTGGCATGTCACTCAATTCTGCTGCTATGTGTGCTTTAAAATTTAATTCAAACTAGCTTCATTGAACTTAGGAATAAATGTGTAATAGCGAGTGCAGCGAGTCGACGCAAAGCGCCGC